GCGCAAAGCACTAATTGGGGAGACAGGGCGCGGGTGGGCGGGGCCTCAGGCGGCCGGGAGAATCGCCAAAAAACAAAAGGGCATTGAAAACCAAAACGGTGCCGCAAAGCAAAGGGACGCCGAAAACCAATAGAAGCGCCGAAAATCAAAGGGCGCCGAAGACCAAAGAGGCGCAGAAAACCAAACGAAGACGGACAGGACGCCGAAAACCACCAGGGCGCCGAAAATCGAAGGGGCGCCGAAAACCAAGCGAGCGCCGAAAACCACAGGGGCGCCGAAAACCACAAGGGCGCCGAAAGCCAAAGGAGCGCCGAGAACCGAAAGGGCGCCGAAACCCAAGGGGCGCCGAAAACCAAGGGAGGTCGAGCAAAAAAAAACGCCGACACACACAACAATGGCGCCGAAAACTAAAGATACGCCGGAAACCCCAAGGACGCGGAACACCAAACCGACACCGAAAACCAAAAGGGCGCCGAAACCAAAAAGGCGCCGAAAACCAAGGAGGCGCCAAAAAGCGCAGGAGCGCCGAAAACTAAAAGAAGCGCCGAAAACCAAAGGAGCGCCAAAAGCCGACGATGCGCCGAAAACCAATAGAGCGCCGACAAAACAAAGGGGCGCCGATCATCAAAATAGCGTCGAAAACGAAAGGGGCGCCGAAAACAACAGGGGCGCCGGAAACACCAAAATAGCGTCGAAGACGGAAAGGACGCCGAAAACCACCAGGGCGCCGAAAACCGAAGGGGCGCCGAACACCAAGGGAGCGCCAAACACCAGGGGGGCGCCGAAAACCAAAGGGGCGCCGAAAACTAAAAGGGCGCCGAGAACCAGCGATGCGCCGAGAAAAAAAAGGGCACCGAAAAACCAAAGACGCGCCGATAACCAAAAGGGCGTCGAAAACCAAAAGGGCGCCGAACACCAAAGGCGCGCCAAAAGCCGAAGAACACCCAAAACCAAAGGGGCGTCGAAAACCAAGGAGCGCCGGAATCCAAAAGAGCGCCGCAAAGTAAAGGGGCGCAACAAAAACAAAAGGGCGTCGAAAACCAAGAGGGCGCCGAAAACCAAAGAGGCGCCGGAACCCAAAAGGACACCGAAAACCAACGATGCGCCGAAAACCAAAGCGTGCGCCGAAAATCAAAAGGGGCGTCGGACACCAAAGGAGCGCCGAAAACCAAAGGAGCGCCGGAAACGAAAGGAGCGTCGAAAACCAGGAGCGCCGAAAACCAAAGTGGCAGCAAAAGCCAACGTGGCGCCGAAAACCACAGAAGCGCCGAAAACCAAAGAGATGTCGAAAACCACGCGTACGCCGAAAACGAACGGGCCGCCGAAAACCAAATAAGAAAAGTAGCTTCGAGCCCCCCCCCCTTCAGCCGAGCCCTCCAGCTGGAAACGCCAACAGAAGGACGGTAGGGGGGGTGTAGCTTCGGAAGCCCCCCTCCCTTTGGAAAGGTGAGCCTGGGATTACCCCTGGCTCCGAAAAAAGCAGGGGGGGTAGCTTCCAAGCCCCCCTCACTCTTTTAGCAGTCAGGGGCCCCTTAGCTACAAAACCCAAACGGAGGGGGGGGGGAGTAGCTTCCAAGCCCCCCCCCCCCCTATTCTAGCTAGGGCCCCCCCCAGCTGAAAAAGGCCCACAAAAGGTGGGAGAGGGGAGGTAGCTTCGGAAGCCCCCCCCCCTCCCTTTCCAAGGGGGCAGCTTGAAGCTGGGGCCCTCCCCTTTTGGTGAGAAGTGCGCCACGAGCACGCTCCCTCGGAGTTATCTCATCATCCCCGCGGCCGAGGGAGGCCTCCCCTTCGCAGCTGTCTCCTCTGCCGCGCAACAGTCTTTGTTCCACAGAGCTGTAATCACCGCCGTCGTCGACATCGGTGCGGGCGATGGGGCACGGGAGAATGCCTGCTAGCTAAACGGTGAGGTGGTGTGATTTTACGAGGGCGACCTTCCTCCCTCGGTCAGGGGCCTCCTCAGTGGGGTCGGAGTAGATCGGGTCGAAGGATCGCGCCGCATCGCCAATGCATCGCCGATGTGTCGGCGACGCATCGGCGATGCATCGGCGACGTCGACGTGGGGAAACACGAGCTCCACATCGAGCCGCATCGACGATGCATCGGCAATGCGGCGCGATCCTCCGACACCATCGACTCCGACCCCATTTAGGAGACCTAGATGTTAGCTGTATGGTAATGTGGTGTTATTGTACAAGTGCGTCCTTCCACCCTCGGTGCATCCCCCGCAAAGTCGTACCACCTGTGCGTTTCGTTCCCCAGGATCCTGCAATATCGTGTACAATCCTGCAGGATCCTGCACCCAAGCCCAGGTCAGTGCAACACTGGCCCTGCAGGATCCTGCGAGATCTGGCGCTCTGACTGACTCCCGTTTTCATGCACCCCCGTCTCTTGAGCCCCGACCTCGGTGCATCCCCCGCGAAAGTCGCACCACCGGGGCGCTTCGTTCCCAGCCCCTCGACTCGGCTCCGAGACGGCCCAAGACCACCCCAAGATGACTGCAACAGTATGCCCGAGCCCCGACCAGGCCTGAAGAGGAGGCGAAAGCGCCCCCAGAAACCAACAAACTTGGACGCCGAAGCGGGTACAGAAACAGTTGCCACGGTGCCCAACAGCAACTGTTGCCCAAAACCGAAAGCGGCGGCTGCTGGACGGGCGGCCTTCTGTCCTAAATGAACAACGGCCGCGGCGACGCCGATGACGAACCCTGTTCAACATGAACAAGAGCTGCTGCTCATCTTTGTACCCATTGTGTCCGTACCCATGTCGATCGTCCCGTATAAAAGGAGCTCCAGCAAGGTCCCGAAGGCCCAATGCATCGAAACACCTGGGCTCTTTCAGTGTACGCGTCTTCTTCTCTAGCCTGTGGGCCTGGGGAAGCTTCAGAGGGCCCCACGATTCGAATAACACATCGATGACATAATTAATTTGTCCTAAAATCATTGTTCGTCGAACCCCATGACTCATGAAAAAATACCACGTGCGTAGATCTACGAACAGTCTAAGCATTGACCATCGGTTCGACAGCAATCCGAATTTCTGGAGTAAATCAATTATGTAGTCGATCTCCTACTCAAGCGATGGCAACAAAGGGCCCCGAGACGCCCCACAGGATTGCCCAAGTGCTCCAAGGCGGCCCAAGACCTCCCAAGACGGCCCCACGTGAGATCCGAGAGAGGGCCGCAAGATCCGACCGGACAACCCCAAGATGGTTCTATGGATGTTCGTCGGGAGAGCTCGGGAGAATTAGTGCGGCCAAAACTGTCCTACTATCATACCACCCCATCAGCCCCAAAGCAAGCCCTCCAACAGCCCAAAGGCGGTCGCTGGGAGGGCCCCGAGACTCCGAAGATGCCCCAAGGAGGACCCCAAGATGCAACCAAGAGGCACCGCCACAATCATGGCGCAACATCGCAGCTCTGCTCCCCAGACAGCCCCCTGCTGACTCTACATAGGCTGTTCGGGATAGCTCGAGACAACCATCTTGCGTAGATTCCGATGTTGTGCTTACGCGATGGTAAGACTTACAATTGCACTCGTCATATGGTGCCGTTTGAGTTGTCTGGGAGTAATCATCACCTCACGCCAATTCCGCCTCCGCCTCCTGAGACTTCCTGAAGGTGACTACACAGGTGACGACGAAACAAATCAGATGCCCCATGGGATTGAAAACATGAGGTTCGGTCACAATAGGGAAGGGACTCCGTCTTAGATGTCCTTGCAATTCACTCACAGACGAGGCCCCCGCCAGAGACTTCCTGGAGATTCAAGCCTGCGGGGATCAGGAGTGACGACATTTACAGGTTTCAGAGGGCCCCCTGAGATTAAAAGCACGAGGTGCGGGCACCAACAGAGAGGGGGCTCCCGCCTGAGACTTCCTCACAAGTCATTCCGAAACGAGGCCCCCGCCTGGGACTTACTCACGATTCAAGCCTCGGGGGCCCAAACGAGATGAAACTGGTTCAGATGAGCCCCAGGGTTCAAAAAATGCGGTGCGGGCACCATAGGGAGTGGGCTCCCGACTGAGACTTCCTCAATATTCAAGCCTCGGGGACCCCAACGTGACGACAGTTACAGCTTTATGATGACCCTCTGGGATTAAAAACATGAGGTGCGGGCCCCATATGGAACGGGCTCCCGCCTCAGACTTCCTCGCAATTCTCTCAGAAACGAGGCCCCCGCCTGTGACATCCTGAAGATTCAAGCCTCCAGGGCCCCAACGTGACAACAGTGACAGGCTTCAGATGACCTCCTGGGATTAAAAACATGAGGCGCGGGGCCCATAGGGAAGGGGCTCCCGCCAGAGACGTCCTGGCAATCCACTCCATGATGGTGAAGGTGTTGGTGATCGTGATGAGAATGCTGACGATGATGCTGATGATGCTGATGATGATGCTGCTGATGATAATGATGATGCTGATGATGCTGATGCTGATGATAATCATGAAAATGGTAATATTTAATGATGATGACCATGCCGATTACGATGACGATCTTGACACTGATGGCGATGATGATGCGGATGGCGATGGGGACCATGACGGATCGCGGTGGTGGTGATGCTGGTTTTCTCTTGATGAAGCTTATGATGATGCTGCTGATGATGCTGATGATGACAATGAGGATGAGGATGAGGATGAGGATGAGGATGATGATGATGATGATGGTGATGATGATAAGAGAAGAAGGTTGGGTGGGTATGCGGACTGCACTGGGTGGGGTGTCCACAGGAAGTAAGACCCTCACCATCGATGTGGTGAGCATCAATAACGCCCTCGTCGTCCCCAAACATCAGCCGCCGTGACTTTCCAAATCGTTGCCCTCAGTGCTGTCAACCCCTTCCCGGGGGCCAGCGTTTCGTCGGAATCGATATCTGATGATCCCAGGGACCAGCGTCCAAGCCGAGAACACTGCGAGCACCTCCGTGGTGGTTGTCAAGCCGTCGGAGGTCTGGGTCCCCCCTGCTCCTCCTGCTGCTGCTCCTCCCCTCCCCTCGCGCCTGCCTTCTCGGGCTCTTTCGGCGAGGCTTCCGTGTGCCTCGCTCGGGCGGAGGCGCGGGCTCGTGGCAACAAGAGCAGCAGACGTAGTTGCACAAAGAGCAACAGCGGTTCGCTCTGCAAGTCGCCATCGGACACAGAAGCGGGGGACAGAGAGCTTCGGCTGGAAGAACAGGTCTGGGGAGAGCGTCGCAACGTGTCTGCCGACAGGAAGCCGAACTCATGCGTACCCCACGTGATGTTGCGAAGACGCGCGAACAGATGGCCGCCCATACGATCGGGCACATGGGGGTAAGACAGCACGTGGTAGCGCGTCAGACCCTCAGCTTGCACACCCGTGCTTTCTGATGCAATTTGATTGTTTCTAAAGAGGATGCCTGGCAGATCCGCAGCTGTACCCCCTGGACCTCCCGGCGCGGAGAGACCTCGCACCACGAGCCCAAATCCTCGCGCCCAAACGCAGCACCTCTTGCGGCCGAGCTGGCATGCTGTGCTCGATGGCCGGGAGGGGCCCGCACACGGCCGCTCCGGCAGCTGCGGCATACCCCCTCGCGGAAGTCGCACCCGCGTGCAGTCCCCCCGCCAGACCCCTCCGTCCCCACGGCCCGCACCAATGAAACGACGGTCGGTCGCCCAGGATGGGGGCAGGGGGGGGGCGCGCCCAGGAGGAGGCATGGTCCTGCAACCAGACACGAGCTTGTGCCCTCGGCGGCGCCGTCGGACGCGGGCGCGGGTGCCGGTGGTGAGACGAGCGCGTGCCACTACTGGCAGAGTGGCTGCTCGCAAATGGCCTGGATCCGCCGGGGGGGGTCTACGAGAAGTTGCATCGAAGCAGGCATCTGTTTTTGTCGGACGTTTGCGAGTAGGCACTTTGCGAGCAGTGGAACGCGCTCGGCGAGTGGTAGCGGCAAGGCGTGCTGGGAACGGGCGCCAGAGCAGGCGGAAGAGGCGAGGGCGGCCGCGGAGGAGGCGGAGTGAGCCCAACCGCCGAGAGTCGGCGACTGAGCGGCGCGCAGCTGGCCTCGGGCACCGCAGAGGGTGCAGAGCAAGCAGCCGAGCACCACGAGGAAGACACAGGCACTGACTGACTGACTGAAGCCGTGCATCCCTAGCGGGCGCGTGGGCCAACTGGGCGGAACAAGCTACCACGGGATGTGCAACTGCACAAGTACGGGAGGAAGGAGGAGGAGGAAGGAGGGAGGAGGGCAGATTATAACAGTTTGTAAACTGGCGTCGCCCGTTGTTGTCTCGGGCGGGCCCCGGCGCCTGCGGGGCAAAGTCTTGGAACATGCGCGGGCGCCCTGCGATCATGTTGTACAGTTATCTGGCGGGACAGGCGGGGGTGCCCTGGGTGCCCTGGAGCGCTACTTGCACGGGAGTCGCGCACGTTGGCTGGCCTCGGCGGAGATGTTCGATGGCTACCGATGGCGGCCCATGCCTATGCTGAGACTCGGGTGCTACTTCTGTGGTGGGAGGGCGGGTGGGAGTGAGGGAGCCGCCCTTCCTTCGGGGAGAGGTCGCTTGGCACCCGTGGAGTCTGGACGGCGCGGGGCGCGAAAGGTAAGAGCGTCCAAGGTGCCTCCACGAGAAAGCGACCAGCATTGACAACGGATTACCGTGGCTTTGCGGCCTACGCTGGCCTTCTGGGGGGGCACGGCTGATTGACGCCGCCACCTGTTTCACTCGCTGGCCAGCACGATGGCCCCCAGGCGACCCGAAAAGCTTCCAAAAGGGCGCGTAAAATGGGCCCTCAGAGCCACCAAGGGGCCCCAAGAGACCTCCTCCAGACCGCCCCCCACGAAACACCCCAGGGGACCCAAGGAACGCAGCCAGGGGGCCTCTGGCCCGCGCAGGCCCCGAGGGCCTCCGAGTGAATGCCGCGCTCCCGCACGCAGGACACTGCCGCTGGGCATCGCGCCTGGGGGTGGGCTGGTGGGGATGCAGGAAGTGTTGTGAGTACAGTATGGCCGCGCTTCGCACTGTATGACCACGCTTCGCAAGGCAACCGCGCCCTCATCGTTTCCACAAGCTGTTCGCTCGCGTGGGCCCCGAGCATCGTGTTTCTAGTGCTTACGTTGTGCGGGAGATGTGGAACAATACGTGCGGTGTGATAGATGCTGTGATATCTATGTGTTGCATTTTATGTGGTGCGCAGTATATGTGTAACCAACATGTTGCAACATGTGTGGCGCAATCTATGTTGTGTAATCTACGTGGTGCAATGTATGTGGAGCAGCCAGCGTGGCGCAATCTGAATGGTGCAATGTGTCCTGTGAGGTCGATACAGTGCAATATTTGTTGACCAAACTCAACGGTGCAATCTATGGGTGCAACCTTTGGTGCAGTCCACATGTGCAACATATGTTGTGCAGTTTGTGTTGTGTATTCGATGCATCACAATATGTGTGGACCAGCCTCTGTGGTAGAATCAATGCGGCGCAACATATGTGGTACAATCTAGGTTGTGCAATACATGGGGTGTAATCTATGCTGTGTTATCAACGTGATGCGCTATGTGTGTAGTGCAACCGGCGCGGTGTAATACGTATGGCATAACCGAGGTGGTGCAATCTATGTGGTGCAATTGGCTTGGTGCAACCTATGTGGTGCAATTAATCTTTGACCATCTTGAAGCTGTCCTCTCCACTGCTCGTGCAAACATCCCACCCTCCCACCCGCAACTTGGTCGCAAGACCTCTTAAGACAAGACCGTGACGGTACGTACCACATCACACTTGGCCACGACACCGACGCCGACGATGACAGCGACAACGACGACGACGGCGCCGCCGACACCGACTACGACGACACCGACGACGTCTCCAACGACTTCGACGAAGACAACGACGACACCGACGACGACGACGACGTCAACGACGCCGACGACGACGACGACGACAACGGCGACTACGACGACACCGACGACGTCTCCGACGACTTCGACGACGACAACGACGCCGACGCCGACGACGAAGACGACGACGACGTCGCCGACGAAGACGACGACGAGGGAGGAGGAAGGACGACGACGGCGACAACGACGACAACGACGACAACGACGAGGGAGGAGGGAGGACGGCGACGACGCGAACGACGAAGAAGGAGGAAGGACAGCGGCGCCGACGACGAAACGACCACGACGCCAAAGAGGACGACAACGACGAACACGAGGAAAGACAGAGGACGACGTAGGCGACGACGACGACGACGCGGGAGGGGGGAGGACGGCGACGACGACGACGACGACGACGCAAGAGCGCGCGCGCACGCTTTTGTTGAAAATCCGTGTGGCGAAACCTCGTGTTTTTGTAGATTGTTGGACACACGATTTTGAAATCCTTCCGAAACCGATGGGTTTGAAGGTTTTTCGGCATACGCGCGGGACGACGCGCGCGCATTTTTGCAAAGGATTCTCGCGACGGCAATCGCGCAAGGGATTTCGACATGCGCGCGCGAAGCCCGTTTAATAGCATGTTGTGAAAATATTGAAAACCTATGGTTTTCTTCAGATTTCGCAAGAGCTCGCGCGGAAGTTTTTTTAGCAAATCAATGTTGCGAAACCATGTGTTTTTGCATGTTTTTGGGAACCTCGATTGCGCAATCCTTCCGGCACCGAGAATTTTTGAAGGATTTCGGCATGCGCGCGCGACGACGCGCGCGCGCACGAGTGCTGGGTGTTGACTGGTGCATCTCTGCGGCCGCGATAGCCCGCGGATGCTCGCGCGCGCAACGGCCAACTAGTTTGGCGCGACCGTCACGAGCGCTGTGGCGATGACCGTTCGGCACATGTAAAATGATATGAACGATGGGGCAGAATCGTATGCAAGTTGCAGATCCCCAAAGGGCCCCGATAAATTGGGGGGAGGGTGGTAGATCCGAATTCCTTGTAAGCAAGAGAATATCTGTTGCGCAATCTTGGCAACGACGCGGCGACGACAAGACGGCGATGGTGACCACGGAGCCGCCAGACCGACGCCTAGGCCCAGACGCCAGGCGGCGACGAGGCGGCGACGGCGACCACGGAGCCGCCAGACCGACAGCCAGGCCAGTAAGAACCCCGACGACGACGACGATGATGACGACGACGACGACGGCGACGAGGCGAGCTCTTCACCCCCCTGCTCGGGTCGGACGAAAAAGGGGGGAAAACAAACGGGGGGTCAACAACCCACGTAGCTGGTTCTCCCGTCCCGGCGCCTCCCGCCGACAAGGCATCGAGGGAAATGCCCGGCGGCGGCGCCGAAAGCACGGCTGCACGCCGCAGATTCCGCACCCCTCCTTTTATCCCTCTGAACCCCCCTCCCCCTTTCGCCCGACGCGCCCCCTGCCGCCCCCGCGCGCCTGGGCCCCCGCGCGACAGGGTCGGCGTCCTCGTCCTGGGCGCGCGGTGGGGGGGGGGCGCCCGCCGCGGCAGGGCACCCGCGGCGCCTCCCGCGCGGGGCCTGGGCGTCTTCTCCGCATCCAGGGCCCTCCAGCTCGCGGGGAGGCCCCCCGCAAAGAGGGCCCCGGAGCGAGGCCGAGGCTCGCGTGGGTCCCAGATCCCGCTCCTGCCCTTCTGGCGGGCAATTGCGGGGGGGGAGGGGGGAGGGTCGCCCTCTCCCCTCGCCCGCCCTTGTCCTCCATGTTCATGCCTCTTGCCTCCAGGAGGAGGAGGAGGAGGAGGAGGAGGAGGAGGAGGAGGAGGAGGAGGAGGAGGAGGAGGAGGATTTCCCCCCCGCGCCCCTGCTGCGAGGCCGACCCCGGAAGCCCCGAGCTGGAGGCCTCCCGCACGGGGCCGGGCGCAGACGGCATCGGAGGACCGCGCCGCGTCGTCGACGCCTCGGCGATGCATCACCGAGGTGCGCAGAACGTCAGGCTCCACATCGAGCCGCATCGCCGACGCATCGGCGACGCGGCGCGATCCTCCGACCCCATGGGCTCGGACCCCCTGTGGGAGGCCTAGACCAGGGCTGAGCCCAAACGGCGTTTGTCGTGCTCGTCGTGTTTTTCGTTGTCCCTCGCTCTGTCGTCCATCCGCCCCTACCGCAGAACGAAGCCGAAGCGGAAGCGGCACACGAAATCGCCAAATCGCCGCTTAGGTCCACGCCTGGCCAAGACTCGGCTCTACTCGCGCCTCGCTCAGCCGAAAGGCTGGCCACGGTCAAGGGGGGAGCGGCATGCCACGGCAGCGCGGCGCCCCGCGCCGAGCGGCGGGCGAGACGTGTAGCTGTAGCTCGCCCTCGGTGCTGGAGGATCTTGAAGCCACGTTCCAAAGCAAACCCAGCTTCAGGGATCTCGGCAACATCTCTGAAGGGGCACTGGGACACACACACACACACACATAAATGCACACAAACAACAGGATCCCCCATATTTTCAAATACTTCCTGGGTTTTTGTCTTCATCCCCACTTCCCATATGCTCCCATATATTTTCCTCGGGATCGACGATGACTTGTGTCTGTGTGTGTTTTGTGTGCCTCCTGGATCTCTCCGACCTGCGTCGCCGGAACCTCCAAGACGACGCGTGCAGATCGGAATGACGCCACCTCCCCACCTCCCCTGCGTATCGCTCATCCGATCCCCACCCCCGGCGGCGTGGCCCGGGCCCCGCCGGCAGATCTCCCCCCCCCCCAAGATGGGGATATGGGTCGGTCCCTTCGGGCTTCGAGGCGCTCATCCCCAACTGGGGTGGTACCTTGGTGGGGGTCTCGAGGGAGATGGGTCTGGGGAGGGGGGTCGGTGAAACGGTACCGATCCTCGCTGGGAGGCCTGGATGGGTGCAGAAACCATGGCACCTCGCGGTGGCCTCCGCCGCCCGCCGGAGGCAGAACCGCCGCCGCTCTTCTCCCACCAGCTCCTCGGGCGGCCTCCCGCCTGGAGCCGAGGGCGTGGCCTCTGGCGCGCGGAGCGCGTGTGGTACGACAGCGGAGGCCTGCGAGCGCATCGGCGGCGAACGCGGGGGGGGGAAGTGAGAAGGAGAAAGCCTTGTCAAAAGGCTCGGCAGTCCCCCGGGCTTCCGAAAGGTTGTCTACGCCTTCCCGGAAGACACAGATCACCTCTCAGAAGGCGCGCGGGCTTCTGAGACGTCCCGCCGCCTTCTGCGAAGGCCTTTTCCTTCTCACTTCCCCCCCCCCCTCGCTCGCCGCCGAGCTTAACTTCCCCCCCCCTCCCGCGTCCCCGCGTCCCCAGAAGGCGACTCACACAAGGTCGCTACCAGCGAAGAGGCGCTCTCACTTGCAGCCGACGCTATACGGCTCGGGCCCCGTGCTGCGTGCTTCCCCGGCGTCCTTGTCGAGCTGCACGAGCCTCGCGACGATGCTCCGCGTCAGCTGGCCGGTGCTCCTCTCCGCGCCCGCACCTCCCGGCGGTGCAGGGCTTCCAACAACAGAGGTGGCGATCCGCAGGGATCGAGATCTGCACTGGATCCATCTGTACAGGGCGACGAAATTAGGGGAACAAGAAGGGGCATAAACATAAACAAAAACTCGGAGATTCGCGCGGATTTCTCGGATCGGCGCTGGGGCACGCCCGGCGGCGCCTCCGGCGCCGCCCCTGGCGCGCTCCGCGCGCCAGGGAGGGGGGTCCCAGCGCCGATCCGAGAAATCCGCGCGGACCTCTGAGTTTTTATGTTTATGTCACTTTTTGTTCCCCAAGAAATCTCTCTCTCTCTCTCTATATATATATATATGTATATATCCATTGCTGCCAGGCCAGGCCTATCCTGAACCCAGCAGCGGCGTATACGCCACGCCCGCCCGGCTGGCCCAAGAGGACGTGTACACAGCTACTGGGTTCAGGATGGGCCTGCCCAGGGAGCAGTGGAGATGTACAGATTTCGCTGCCCGACTGTGGTGCTTCAGTCGAGGCCGCCTACACGCGGTCCGAGTAGACGGGGTCGGCGGATCGCGCCGCACCGCCGATGCATCGGCGACGTCGGCGATGCGTCGGCGACGTCGGCATGCAGAAAATGGCGCTCCACAACGAGCCGCATCGGCGACGCATCGTCGGCCCACCGACCCCCCATCCGCTTCGACTCCAATTGGGCGGCCTGTGATCAAGAAACAATGCACAAGTTGACAACGTACGATTCACGAACATATCGCACACTTGAAGACAACAGTGTACACGGTGAAACGCGACACAAACTTTAATGATAAGATCAATGCGCACTTGAAACACAATGTAGAACAACACTCGCAAACTTTAGAACACACATGTACACTTTAGACAACCAGCTCACACATTCAAGCAACAGAGCAACACAGACGACATCAACACATGGTTAAAATCAACAAAACACAACTTGAACAACACTACGCATACACAAACAACCATTTACAAACGTTTGAAACGTAACGCACGTCCTAGGACAATAGAGCAATTTGAATGTTTAGACCACCGTTAACTTTAGGACACCATCCACACTGTAAAATACGAATGCGTTTGTTTGTCCTATCTGCCTCGCGACAACATGTGCTTCTCACATCTCTTCCGGGTAAGCCCGAGGCCCCAGGGCAACGCGAAAGCAAGAGCCAAACATCCACACCCCGACGGCCTCTGGCGGCTCGAGATCGCGGCGACGGCCGAAGCGACCGTGCAGCGACAAAACGCTGGTCACCTCAAGTCAGGGCTTCTCGGAGCCACGGACTCCGAGGATGTCTCAGGCGAAACGGGCCTGAGCACATCGCGGTCTACGTCTCGAGCAAAACGGGCCAAAGCACCTCAATTCAGGGCATCTCGCAGTAGCCCAGGGTTCGGAGGATGTCTCAGGCGAAACGGGCCCGAGTACCTTGCAACCACATCTTGGACCCCCTCCCCCGCGGCGATGCTCGAGAAACCCCCTCGCGGCCAGCCTGCAGGCTGCGAGGGAGTCTCTCGAAATGGCCTCCACCTCCCCCTCCACCTCCCCCCCATTCTCAACTAGAACCGCGCGCGCGCTTCGCGCGCGCTTGCCTCTAGCGCATGCCGTGGCGCTGTTAGCTGTGCGTGCTTTTCGGACTGGCTCGTTCCATGCCTTGCCGTACCTCGTCCTCCAATTTTCCTTACACGCACTTCCTCGTTACCCCTCTAGTCTCTCGGTTGTCCTCGCTTGTCGTTTCTCGTTCTTCTTGACGGCCTCCTCCTGCTTGGGATTGCGCGGGGACCTCGAGCTGTTCAGGGCCGGCGTGGGGATCGATCGAATATGAAGGGGGCTGACTTGAAACGTACGTGTCTCTTGTGGATCTTCCTGTTTGGGCTACCTTGGAAGCCTTGGGGCCCGCTTGGGGCCCTCTTGGGCTCTTCTTCGAAGCTGTGGGGCCGTCTCAAGCCTCGGCGCCATGTGAAGATTTCCCAAAGCCATCCGACGGAGACGAGCGTGAGATTTACTGAATCTGGAGAAACCCGAATGGTTTTTGCGTTTACGGCTCTCTGGGGTCATTTGTGAGGGCCTTTGGGAGCTCCACTGGGGCATCTTGTGGCCCCTGGGGGCCGTCTTGACACATCTTGGAGCGTCTTGGACCACTAAGGGGCCATCTTGGCGGCCAGCGGGCGTCCTCCTGAACCAGCTCGGAACCCTCTTCAGGCCGAAAGAGTCACCCAAAGACCCCAAAGCGGATCCCGGAGCCAAGGGGAGGCCATTTGGGTTGCGACGGGGGGAGTTTGGGAAAAGTGGGCCACCCAAGGGCCACCCCAAGTCCCCTCCCTCATGGGCTCATGGGCGGTCCCGTAGTCTTCGTCCGTCTTCCGACGTCCGTGCGCCCGCCATGTTGTTTCTCAAAGATAGCTCTGCCGCGGTGCTGGCGGCACAGCGCAGACTTGGGCTAAGCGAAGGTAATTGCGCGAAGCGCAGTATCTTCGGCCAGCGGCTGACTTGGGCTGCTTACGCGCGCTCATGCAGCAGAGAGAGGCGATGGAAACTGCAAACAAAATGCCCCTCCCCGAACAGATCTCGTCCTCAATGCCCGGGGGAATCTGACAATCCGAAGACATTCCTCGCAAGCTTTGCAGACAGGGGATATGTCGATCCCTGTCCGAGGCCTCGTGGGGCTTTCGAATGGACCAACAACTTGGGGCCCAACCCTGGGATATACGATGGGGGGCGTCCATCCTCGATAGGGGTGCATCCGAATGGCCCCCTCGGGGTGTGTTCCAGGGTTTCCCCCTTGTTCTCGGCGGCCAAATTTATCGGGCGGAGCTCGGAGATTGGGGGAGACAAATCGCCTGCGAGCGAGCTTTGCGGCAACGACCAGCTGCCTGGTCTCGGCACTGTGCCCTCTGGAGTGGATCGTGTCCCCGAGGTCGGCACGGGTCCTAGAGTCGGACTTCGTTGGACAGGACACGCGAGAGGACAAAAGACCCTTCCGAGGGCCACACTGCTATGGGAATGCAGGAGGCGCGGATCGCGAGACACAGGACACAAAGGTTCGGCGGTGGACAAACCTCCCTTTAATAAACCTCCCCTTAGTGACAACGGCCTGGGACCGAAACCGACGGGCCTGGACCCGCAAAAATGAAGAGTGCGACGCCCTCTCGCGAACCGAAAACGGCCAATTCGCTAATCGACGCGTCAGGGTAGGAGGCCTATCCACCCCCGAGGATCGCGAGACTCGGGACACAAAGGTACCCTTGACTTGGCAGGGTCGACCTACCAATCCGGGCCGGCTGTAACTGCTGTTCCGCTCTCGCCGCCCCCAAGGCTCGGGTCGGGCGAAAGGGGGGGATAGCAAAGGGGGGGTTTGAGAATCAGCTCGCGTAGCTGATTTTCCCGGCGCCTCCCGGCGCCGGAGGCGGCTATGTATCGAGGAATGAGCCCCTCGGTGAGGCCGAAACCAGCTGCATGCAGCAAATTTCGTAACCCCCCCTTTCCCAATCCCCCCCTTTCGCCCGACCCGAAAGGCACCGGCAGGGGCGAGTAAAGTGCCACGGGAGAGGCGGTCGACGGGCGAAGGGGCAGGGCCGGAGGGGCCCAGGGACATCGCAGGCACGAGCCCCAAGATCCCGCCCCTTCTCTCATACGTTTTGGATGACAGTCTTCCCCAGCGGTTCTCACACGTCCCTACATCTTCCTGGGGATCGACGATCGTTCGTGTCTGTGTGCTTGTATTCCCTCCTGGTGGGCTCAAAGCGTAGGATGCGCAGAAGGCGACCACAGCGCACGATAAGGCTCTGAACTGCCTGGTGCACTGCAAGGCCTGTAGACGTTCTTGCGATGACTGGCACTAGAAAGAAGCAACTTCGCCTGATTCAAGAATGAACCAGCTCTCACGAAACCTTGCGTCCACTTCCCGGCGAGAACCCCCCCCTTTGACGATCGCGTAAGCCGTTCAAGGAGTGCGCGAGGTCCTGGAATGCAAATCGCCCTCCCATTCCACAAAAGTGAACCGCGGCGCGACTCAGCATTGGGAGACTCACGACCAAATTGCATCACAACGCGAAGCAAGCGTGGCCCCCCCATCCGTCTTCACACTACCTGGAAGAACTGAACCCTCAATCCCTGCACTGGATCCAGAAAGATGGCACTCAAAATCCTGAACCGGGCACTCTCTGATAGCAAACGCGAAACTGTGCACTCTGAGAATCCAACGGTTGTCCTCTCTCTCTCTCCCCCTCCACCTGCTGCTGCTCATCCTGCTCATGCTTCTCATCCTCACCTGCGCGGCCCAAGCCGTCCTCTGGACATCGCTCTCTCCCTCCTGTTCTTTCAAGCTCTCCTCCTCCGGATCACTGTGCCCGCGCGCCGCCCTCCCAGACATGCGCCACCGTGCCTTGGTGCACGTGGAGGCGTGGAAGAACGACAAGGTCTGGCTGGTCGGGTTTCTGCAGTTTTCCAGAAAGGCCCCCCGCCTGTCTACAGCCAACCCGGATAGTACGGATGCGCGATAGGGATGCAAGGGCCTTGGACGCACATGTCGAAGCGTTTCGAGCGGGGCGCGGCCAATGAAAGTGTCCAAGGATGGACCCAGGAGGCAAGGATGCCAGGGTACCCTTGGGTTGTGGATGCCACGGACACCCTAACAGTCCTACCGTCGAATGAAACATTTGTTGAACATGTAAGGAAAATGCCCGGACAATGTTTAAAACATGCTGTACATGTTTAAAGCAGTCTTCAAACATTTTCTAGACATCTGGAAATGATTTGGCAACATGCTTCCTCTCCACTGATCCTCCTCCACAACCCCTTGGGAGGGATGCCCACCCTTCCTGTGCGGGTTGACTGCGCCCGCACTCCGCCGCAGGCGTCTCCCCCCCTCCTGCCCGAGGCTGCCACTCCCTGACAGAAAGAGGGCACCGTCGCCCTGCCGAGGCGATCGGCCGACAGTGTGCCTCCGAGACGGCGCACCTGTCGCTCCCGAGGCCGGGCCACGGTGGCCTCCGGGGCGGCCCGTCGGCTCCCGGGGCGGCCCGCGAGGCCGTCCTGAGGCGCCCCAGGAGAGAGCCCCAAAGGGGCCCTCCCAAAGAGGGCCCCGAGGGGCAACCACGTATCATTCCGTGCGTGTGTGTGTGTTTTCGCTGCTTCGCGGGTGCTCGCCCTTTCGAGCTTCCGACGTCCCAGGGCGACCACAGAGGCCGCCAGGACTGCCCCCAGGCGGCCCAAAGAGGCCTCCAGGAGGACTCCCAAGACGGCATAGCAGGGCTCCAAGAAGGCCCGAGCGGCCCCCGAGGTACCCAAGCCGGCAACCCAACCCTTCTGCCCCAAGAGGGCTCAGGAGGCCCCAAGAGGGCCGAAGGATGTCCCCGAGAGGCCTCATAGAGGGCCCCGATGGACGGGCACCTGTGATCCCCCCTTGGCTTTCTCAAGGTGCTTTGGGTTCTCGCCTCTTCCAGGCTGCCGACGCTCCAAAAGAGGGCCCAAGAGGCCCCAAGGCTCCCCCGAGACGGCTCAAGAGGCCCCCACGAGAGCTCCAAGGCGGCCCAAGAGGGCTCCAAGACGGCCAAAGAGGCGCCCACGACTGCCCAAGAGTGCCCCAGAAAGGCCCAAAGAGACACCCAGAAGGCCCTCTAGCCTTCTCGAGTGGGTGCCACCCAAAGCGCTGTGCTGGCACGGTGGCGGAATTGCCAGAGGCAACCGAATATTTGAACTACGTCCTGGCCACTGGCGGAGTCGGAGCCCTCGAGCATGGCCACGATATCCTCGAGGTCTTCAGAGCAGACGTTGCTCGATCCTGAGGAGAGGCGCTAACGTACAATAGATCAGGTACGCAGGCCTTCTTGTACACGCTCACCCATCCTTTCCCGCTGCCTGATTACTACACATCCCCGTTCCTGATTGTTTCTGCTTATCCCCCCCTTCTCCGTATCAGAATCACGAAGTAGCGTAGCAGGTACCCGTCTCATTCTCATTCTCATGATCCATCGTCTGCTTATCCTCCTCCTCTCTGTCCTCATTCTCCTCGTCACCTTCCAACCCACTCCACCGTCACCTGTCACCCCATTCCCTCTCATGATCCTTCTCTTTGTTGTCTTCCTCCTCCTCCTCCTCCTCCTCCTCCTCCTCCTCTTTGTCTTCGTCATCCTCGTCACCTCATCCCTCATTTTGGTAAAACCTCTCCAACGCCTCCTCCTCCTCCTCCTGCTCATCTCTGCTATCCACCGTCTCCTTATCCTCGGCCTCCTCCCTCTGCGTCTGTGCTGCTCCCCATGCGTTCCCTGTCACTCCTCCTCCTCCTCATTCCCCCCACCCCACCCACGCTCGTTCCCCTCCTCCGCCCCCCCCCTCCCCCCCCTCCCCTCCGCGTCCCCACGCCCCTCCACGTCCCCCCCTCCCCCCCCCCCCACCACCCACTACGCACGCGAGCGCGGAGCCGCAGGTCCGCTACGACACGCGTCCGCGGATAGAGAAAATCAGCGCCATGGTGAGGGATGGGAGGGAGGGGTAGGACGTCAGATATGACGCGAGCGCACCTAGCTTGCCCCCCTCCCCTCCATGTCCCCCCCCACCCCCCCTTCCCCTCCCCACGCTCGTTCCCCTCCTCCCCTCCGCGTCCCCGGCCCCCTCCCCCCCCCCCCCCTTCTCGACGGCGACGGCGCGCGGGCCCCACGACGCTGAGAGCCCCGCCCGGCACGCCGTGCGCCCCGCTCACCAGGATGGCGTTCAGGAGGATGTCGATGAGACCGCGGATGCGCTGCTGCGTCCTGCGAGGAGGAGGAGGAGGAGGAGGAGGAGGGAAGGAGGAGGAGGAGGAGGAGAAGGAGAGGAGAGGAGGAGGAGGAGAGGAGGAGGAGGAGGAGAGGGAGGAGGAGGAGGAGAGGAGGAAGAGGAGGAGGAGGAGGAGGAGGAGGGGGAGGAGGAGGAGCAGGAGGAGGAGGAGGAGGAGGAGAGGAGAAGGAGAAGGAGGAATAATAAACATAACCAGTGAGGAGCAGAAAGCTCCGGCTGCGGAGCCGTTCGTACACAGAGCCAGTGAGGAGCAGAAGGCTCCCGGAGCTCACATGCACCCCCCCCCCTCCGCACGCACGACCAGACCACACAACGCAACACTGCGCAGCACAACATAAACACACACGCGCATATCGGGGAGACGTAAGACTCGGGTACGGGGGACGCGGGTTGGCCTGACGGGGTCCATCATAAAAATGACGAGACGCAATCTGAAATTTGACGCGAGCTCCCACTACAAATATCCGAAGAAAACTGGACCGTCAAAATCCAGGACGCGCTCGTCAAAAAACGTCGGCAAACCCGAGTTCCGGCTTACCCGAGTCTTACGTTCCCCCGAGCATACATAAGCACACACTTGATAACTGATGGAACGAGATGTCGTGTAACTACCTGCGCCTTGCCCCCCGCCCTGCACTCCCCTACAGACCCTAGAACCCAATTGAGCTTCTCACCCCTGCCCCTGGTCCAGTGCGCCTCGGCAGGGTAGAGTCCCGTCGCTGCGGCTCCCTCTTCAGGGCCCGCCACTGCAACAGCGCCAGCATAGGGGAACGAAGAATGGAATAAACATAAGAACTCGGAGGTCCGCGCGGATTTCTCGGATCGGCGCTGGACCCCCTTCCTGGCGCGCGGAGCGCGCCAGGGGCGGCGCCGGAGGTGCCGCCAGCGGGGTCCAACGCGAGTCCGAGAGATCCGTGAGGACCTCCGCGCTTTCGTGTGGGCTGGGCACTTCATTCTTCGTTCCCCTTCATCTTTGTGTGTGGGGTGGGCACTTTCATTCCTCCGTGAGGACCTCCATCCTTCGTTCCCCTGCGGCACCTGGCCATCGCTCGGACGTCCATTTCCTTTGCCTTTTTCGGTGTCGTGCGTGGGTTTTCTTCGCGAAATGATCCAGGATGCTCCTCGATGGTCCTCGCCGAAGGGAAAATGCACACGTCCGAGCGATGCCGAGGCACTTCACGCTGGGGTGGGCCGGCGCCACCGAGCGCTGCACAGTGAGGGCGCCGATCGCCCCCCTCAGGACTCCTGCAATGTGCTCCCGCTGCGCGGACCGACGGCCGCCGGGCCCCACGCCATACACACACCACACACCACACACACACACACGCCACACACACACAAACACACATACACACCACACACACACCACACACACACACACACCACACACACACAAACACACACACACACACACAAAAACACACACAAACCCGCGCACGCACGCACGCACGCACGCACGCACGCACGCACGCGCGCGGATGCCCCACTCGCGCACAACACACCACACGCACGCGCGCGCACACACCACACACGCACACACGTACATATAGGTTCGGCGGTAGCGGCCTCGTGCGCGGCGACGAGGCGGAGACAATAAGAGAACGAAGCACGCAGCCACGGCTGGGCCAAAGGGGGATACACACACACACACACACACGCATGGGGCTCTGGACGGGTGAACAATCCCTTGGGTTTGCCTCGAGCGCAAGCAGCCTTTTGGAGATCCCCAACGTCACGTCGACTCGGTGCGTCAACTCGGTTCGTCAACTCGCATCGATCGGTCAAATCGGTACGTCAACTCGGTGCGTCAATTCGATTTGCCAACTCGGTGCATCAACTGGGCTCCAGAGTGCAGTCTTGAGGGGAGGTTCGGCGACCTCTGCAATCCAAACGTACACAGAAAATCTCCACGCCCACCACAGGGTAAACCTAGCATGGCAGAGACGTGAGGGACACGACGTGGCAAAGAAAGAAAGAAGGAAAGACGGAAATGAGGGAGAGAGAGAGAGAGAGAGGAGAGCACGAAGGGGAGACGACAGAGCAAAATTACCAAAATGAAAAACCAATGCAATAAGATACAAATGCCTACATATGTATTATGCCAGAATCAGTAATGGCACTCGTATGCGCGAGTGGCAAACCAACTCTCCGTAGGAACTGCAATCAATCAGGGTCGCTCAAGACACCCGAGCTTGGGACTTCCGAGTGAGAACCGCCAACAACAACTACAAGACGACCGCGCGCAGAGGAAACCGACATCGTAGACAGCGTGGAACTCGAAATCACTGGAACCTGCGGGGTAAACGTGCTACCGCTCTCGTCGAAAGTCAAAGTGCTGGCTACCAGATTGCCAAATCAATGCTTTCCGCACGCGCTCTGCTCCAATGTTGTAAAGATCATGTCCGTGCTGGCCGTGCTCATGCGGCGATGACGATTGCGTGCGATGTCCGATCGCGCCAAATACCTCGCCGTCTTCGCATCGATGCACCCGTGCATCCATGCAGCGCGCGCCGCAAGTATAATCCGTTTGCGATCTTGCCCCCCCTCCATGGAAGCAGCTGCACAACACAACAATACATTTCACTTAAAGCCATAACTGCCGAGAAATCTGCACTCTCCATCTCCATGTCCCAGGCCAACTGGAAAATGCCGTGCTCTACAGATAGAATCACGCATCACCTCAACACAGATTCCAAAGGTCGGCGCGGATTTCTGGGGCGGCGCCGGAGGCAACGCCAAGGAATTTGGGGTCCAGCGTCGATCCACGAAATCTTAGGCTTGTGCTGAAATGTTAGGAATTTGGGGTCCAGCGTCGATCCATGAAATCTTAGGGCCGACATCCGAAAGCTGAGGATCGTGCTGCTGTTGCTTCGGCCTGCCGCAAACATAGGACAGCACGCGCGAGCCAGGTGGCGGGCGCCCCTCGAGAGAGAGCCCCGCGGACCTCGGGATGGCGTTTGGCCATCCCTCGGATGTGCTGCTCTGCAAGCGGCTCCCCTTGCCTCTCCAGACCGCTGGCGCTCTCGTTCCTAAATGTGTGTGTGAGTGCACTAGAACGGTCAGCGAATGACCGTGCTGCAGGAGGAAGTATAGGATGACGACGAGGACTGTTTCGTGAGATCAAAGAAAGCAGCACCACTGCCCAAAATAAATATACGCTGACAACCCTCTGTCGCTACACGGTGAATCATGGGCCACGTCTACATCGCAGAGCGGGGGGGGTGCTGGGAAGGGGCATGCCACTCCTCAGCAAAAAACGCGGCGACCTCCAAAACCGGCCCGACGGTTTGACTCGGGGTCGGAAGTCACGCAACGCGAGGACCACGCATGCCTGAGCTGGACCGACTCGCGAAATCGGCTTCGATCGGAAGCGGATCGAATCGCCAAGCGAGAAGATCCAACCGCATCGAATGGGAATCGGATCGCCGCGCAGGGCTCCGGCTGGCCGCGGCGCGGCCGATGCTGGCCAATTCGAGCCCGAATCGAGTCGAATCGGTTGTGGATGCCACGACAATGGACACCCTAACAGTCCTATCATTGAATTTAAGATGTGTTCAAAACGTCGGAAGCATGTTCTAGGCATGCTTTCAACATGTGTTTTAAACATGTCTAAAACATGCTTAACACATGTTTGTTAGACATCTGAAAATTCTTCGGCAACGTGCTCCCTCTCCGTTGATCGTCCTCCACAACGAGTCGGCGTCGCGGCCCCGCCTGGCGAATCGAATCGCCCCGGGCCGGCCCGCGCATGCGCTGGCGAATGTCCTCTCTCGGTCTTGCCGCACCCCGCGCCCTCCGCGCCGGGGCGCCCCGCCCTCGCCACACGTCCGCGAGGGCGGGGCGCCGTCCGCGAGGCGCGGCTGAGCCGCCACGCGCGCCGCGGCGAGGGGCGCCGGCAGCACGGAAGGGTCGAACACCGGGGCTGAACCTAAGCGGTGTTGTTCGTTTTCGTTGTGTTCTCGTTCTCCCATCGGCTTGTCTTCAGTCCGCCGTTAGAACCGCACGACAACGAAGTCGGAACGAAGAGGGCCCACGAGATCGCCAGAAGGCCGTTCAGGTCCAGCCCTGTCGAACACTTCCCCCTCCCGAGCCCGAACACTTCCTCCCCCCTCCCCCTGCTACCGCTCGCACGTCCACTGCCCGTGCGTCGTTCGGCTGCCGTCCGTGCATCTGTCTGCCAGCGGATCCAGGAGGCTCCTCGTCCTCCCCGGAAGGAAGCGCACACGTCACGCGGATCCAGGAGGCTCCTCGTCCTCCCCGGAAGGAAGTGCACACGTCCGAACAGCCGAGGAGCCCGACCGCTTCCCCCCACGGGCCTTGGGGAAACCGAGAGGTACCGATAGCGCTTCGCCCCCGGACCTCTCCCGGGGTGCGCTCTGACCAAGGACCTCGCGGCGAATCCAGCGGTGGCGACGAGGGCCTCCGAGGAGGCCCAAAAGGGGGAACGCGAGGACCAGGTAGAGGCAGGGGTGCACGTCGTTCGCTTCTGATCGTGCACATGTCTAACTGTACTCGTTTGCAATGGTTCCTGGCCCCCTGGTGGCCAGGAAGAGGCCCAGGACAGCACGAGTAGACGTGAACGGACCTTGCCCCCCCCAAAAAAGAAACACCCGAGATAACCTCCGAGAAGCACCCGAAACGAACACTCTGGGCACGTGTTCTTCCTCCTCCTCGGGTGGCTATGCCGCGTCCTCTTCGTCTTCTGCTGGATCTCCAGCTGCTCGCAGACGCTGCTCTGCACCTGCGTCCGCGGGGGCGGCGGCCAGGAGCCTGTTTTTTTTTCAGTCTGGCAAGTTTACTTGCATGTACGGGGGGGGGCTGAGCCTGAAGCAAGCCGCAACCGACTTGCACGTTCGGAAATCACGCAAGTCGAAAGGCACTTGCACGCTAGTATTCGCTTGAAGAGGGGCGAGAGGGGGGGGGGGGGGGGGGCGAAACGCCATGCAAGTAAGCTTGCCTGAATCCAAAAAAAACA